GAGGCGGGGCCTCGCGGGGGCGGGGCCCTAATAGGGGAGGGACTGAAGCCGGGGCGGGGCCTGTGGTCCGGGGTGGGACTTGGAGCGGCGCGGGAGGGGCCAGCACAGCTCGCAGCAGCTATCCACTTCCCTCGCCGGAGGCTGGGGACCGGGTGCCGAGGCTCGGGCCATCAGAACAGCCGCTCCCTTCCTTAACAGTGCAGTGCCTCCCCTCCACTGTATTTCTTCGAAGCGGGCATAACAGGATTCAGCAGTTACCAGTTTATAGGTGGGGAAACTGAGGTAGGGGGAGGCGTCCACAGCGGCACTGGTGCAAGCGTCTACTGCGCTCCTGCCGCGGCACCTCTTCAGTCTTCCCACGACCTGCCTCCTGCAGAAAGAGTTCATTTACTTCCCGCCCTTGTCCCTCCTCCGACCCTCTAGGTTTTTATTAGTCCTGGAGAAACCCCCACCGCATCTCGGGCCATTGTGGGTCCAGCTCGCTCCTGGAGGCGGCAAGTGTCCTGGAGCCCCGAGCTGTCAGCCGATCGCTCAGATCTCGTCCAGGGGCCGGTGGGTGCCCGCCTGGGGTCGGGGCAAGCTGCCAAGCTGCGCGGCCCGGAAGGGGGTAACCGCTGGGTCTTTGATCTTTCTTGGTTTCCGCTCCCCGCTGCAGTTCTCCAGACCCAAGGGCTTGTTTGTTTTGTCTGGGGAGGTCTCCGCGGAGAGGAGGGCGACATCAAGGGGTTCCACCCCACCTTTGTGGTTCTCCGAGAGAATGCATGCTCTGCTGGGGACACCTTGGGCCTGTGTTAAGCTCCCCCCGGTATCAAACAGCCTGGGCGTGGGAAAACAAAACAAAACCCAAAAAAACCTGAGCTCAGTGAACAGAGCAGCTCTTCCTTCTGGGCTGAATATTCTGTGTGAGCCTTAGTTTCATGTTCTGTAAAATGGAGACTCCATTCTGCCCTTTTACCTGTCCCTAGAGCACCATTGTCCCATAGAAAAGCATGTGTCTGCATGTGTAATTTTAGATTTTCTAGTAGCCACGTTTTTAAAGTAAAAAATAGATGAAATTAATACTAATATTTTATTTGACCTAATATGTCAAAAAAATCTTTAAACATATAATATGTCACATTCTTTGTTTTGCACTCTTGAAAGGCCCAGGGTGTATTTTACACTCAAAACGCATCCCAGCCCAGCCCAGCCACATTGTAAGAGCTCCTTAGCACGTTGCAAGTGGCTGCTATATTGGGCAGCACAGCTTTGAGCAGATGCACGTCTCAGCCTGTAATGCTGGCACTCTGGGAGGCTAGAGCAAGAGGATCACAGGTTCGAGCCCAACCTGGGCAGTTTAGCAAGACTCAATACCGAAAAAAAAAAAGTGAAAGGGCACTGAGAATAGTGTGGCCCCCCAGAACCATAGTGTCTCCATCCTGCAGTGTTTTCTGTCCAGAGTCCAAGTTCACCATCCCCACCCCACTCCGCCACTTCAACCCCCAGCCCCCTCCCTCACCCCTGTTTGGAGGAAATGAGGGCTATTCTTACAAGCAGGGACATTAATTAAAGCCATGTCAGCAGTTCTTCATCCAGCACCTACTCTATGCCTATCATTGTCCTATTTGTACAGCCTTCATAATCACCCTGTCATGCAGACTTGTAGAGAAACCTACCAGGCTCAGAGAGGTGATGTCACTTGCCCAAGGTCACACAACTAGTCAGTGAGCCAGTGAGGACCTGAACCCATGTCTGCTGATTGATTGCGCTGTTCATGCTCATCTTACTACAGCAGGCTGCCCGGACACATTGCAAACCCAATATCCCACCAGTAGAGAGAAAGCCCCCATCCAAAAATACATACTAAGTGCCGTGTGGCAAGCACTGTCTTGGGCATTTAAAATACTTACCGTGAACAAAATGGACAATTGTCACTCTCATTCATTGTCGCCCTCATTCTCCACTGGACAGAAGATAGGCATGAGCGATCACCATAATGAATGGGGTAATAATGTGGCAACTTTGCTCCGCAAGAGACATTTGGTAATGTCTGGGGCATCTCATACTAGAATGCAGGGGACAGCCTCCCCCTCCTCCAGTAATGTCATCTAGTCCCAAATGTCAGAACCCCAATGTTAGGGCTATAGGACATTGAGAGAACAGAGCAGAACAACGGGGTCAGGAGTACCACCAGGTAGGTCTTGAGTCCCTGAATCCGGACCTCCTCATATGGAAATGGAATTCACTTGGGGTTGCTGCCTTTCTCACCCCTACCCCCACCCGTGCCAGGGTGCACCAAAATCAAAGCACAACTCTGAGTGTTGTTTCTCACAGTGCTTAGAAAGTTGGTGACTTCCTTAAACCGGTCGTGGCTTTCTTCTTCCATGAGAAAACAGTATCCCCCTCGCCCCCTTGGGAATTTCTTTTTACAGTTCAAAAAGAGATAAAAGCAAGAACTAAAACTCGGCAGTTACCAGCTTGAGTCTTAAGGGAAGTAAATCCCAAATATCCAGACACCATGGCCCCCTCCACCTTAGGCCTGGTACTTCTCAGCCCGCCAGGCGCCTGGGATCTTGCTGCTGTTGGGATGTGATGCCCCTCATGTGGCCCCTGGTTGAGAGTCCACCGCGGTGGGCTGGGTGGGGAGGAGTTAGGCTGTCCAGACTCTGAGGACAGACTCTCTGGAGACCACCAGCACACAGTCCAGCTGGGGCGGCTATTCCACCTCAAGGACTGCTGGCCCCACGACTCACTGTCTTTTTATGTGTTTTAATAATTTATCTGGCCCATTTCTTGGGCTGTATACTTACTGTGACACATCTTTTTCTTTGAAGATTTCCCATCCTTTGGGGGAGGAGAATGAGAGAGGAAGGCAAGGGAAAGATAAGAGAGAGAGATTATAGCAAATGTGTTGCATAGGGTTGGAGATTTAGCAAGGCTGACTTAGGTGAAATCTGTCAAACATAGAGCTGAGGGAAAGATCTTTTTTTTTTTTTGAACCACATCACCCTGGCTGGCTGTCCATGCCCCACGTTAAGCCATCTGATCAGACTCCCTTTAAACACCACTTTCTAGAGGAAGACTTCTTTGGATCTTTTCTGCTATGAATAGCCGCGGCATCCCTCACTATCCTGCACACACTTGGCACTCATGTTTTTAAATAAGGAGACCAATGTTCCCCCTGCAGACCCCTAAGGCTGGGGTCTCACCCATCTTGCATCTCCATATGGAGTGGCCAGCACAGCACATCATAGGGGTTTGTATGGAAAGAGAGTAACTCCCTGAGCAGTGTTATGGTCACTAAGATGGCAGATCCCAGGGAGGCTGAGGCAGGAGGATGGCAAATTCAAGCCCAACCTGGGCAACTTACCAATGCAAGGAGACCCTGTCTCAAAAAACATTTTTTTTTTTAAATGGTTAGGGCTATAGCTCATTGTGTAAGCCCTGGGTTCATTTCCCAGTACAGCGAGAAAAAAAGAAAGTATAAAGGAAAAAGCTAACCCCTGAGTCTCCAGTGGTTCCTCATAGGTTCCTGGAGTTGCTTCCTTTCGCCGGGTCCACAGGGGCCTGGGACCAAGTTTGCGTGAGGAGAAGAGGTTTAAGCATCTCTGCAGGAGAAAGTAGCAGTGATTTTGGAGATGGCAGCCAGGGAGGAGAAGAGAACGGTCTCAAGGCAGACTGAGGTGTAAGAATTAGGGTGGGGCGTGAATTAGGGTGGGAGAAGGGGTGCTTCTGATGAGGGAAGAGCAGCCAAATAACGTTCACGGGGGGGATATGGTACAGTTGGCCGCTGTTACCTGCTCAGCTTGTGCTGTCACCTCCGTCCATAGCTCCACATCCTCTTCAATGTCCTCACCACATTTCTGAGTCCGTGGCACCATTCAGAACGAAGGGGTCAGAAAAGTGGCCCAGTGCAGGTCATCCGTGGGGCCTCAGGCCATGGGCAACCTTCAGAGTGGAGCTGGGCAGTGGGAGGAAGGATGGGAGCCAGAAACATCCAGGAGCATCACCAGCCCCAGCCTTGGTCCCCGGAGTTGACACAGGGTGCTGAGCCTCCCCCAGAACAAGGGCTGGGGTCTCCATGCCACTCCATGTGGGTATTAAAGGAAAGAGGCCCCTCAGGACAGCTGCTTTAGCCTCCTCCAAATGCTGGTTTAATTGATTTTTTTTTCTTGTAATACTGGGGATTGAACCAGGAGCCTTTGCACTGAGCTACATCCCCAGCCCTTTTTATTTTTTATTTTTGAGACAGAGTCTCTCTAAGTCAGCTTTTTGTAGCAACAATGCCTCCCTAGTGGAGGGTGTTTTGATAAGCTCAGGACACAGCTTCCCTGGTTCAGCTGAGAAGCCTACTCATGATTCCCATCTCTGCCCATTTCCAGACTTCTTGTACACCAGGGTGCCCATCCATGACATCAAAGGAAGGGTCATGCTGACGGGTATTTCTTAAAATGGGTTTCACTGCACACTTTTTTTTTTGAGATTCTATTATGAAAAGAGTGAGCTTGTGAGAAACTCTGGGCAGCCTTGGCTTAGCTAAAGGGAGACGAGTTTTTTTTCTGCAGGACTTATGAGAGCCCTCGGTGAGCACACAGCTTTGCTCTTCTCTAAGAGGAGACCACAAGCAGGATTTCTTAAATTCACCAGACCAGGAGCCTTTTGCGGAAGTTCATAGAACATGGTTTGGAACCTGCTGGAGCTAATGACTTTCAAGGTCCTTTCCAAGTTCTGGTCCAGGTCTAGACTAAGAGTGCAATAGGAAGGAAATCCCAGAGGGAACAGGGCCAGTGTATAAAGCCTCCTTGA